GGTATTCTGGCGTGGTTATGTCAGAATGAAGGATATGTATGGCCATGCCCTCTTACCTGAGCTCTCTTATGGTGTGACTTCGCCTTGACCCATCTTATAGCTGATTATCTAGTGTAATAATAATCAGCACATGGTGAAATCACACTTTTGATATTTGATTTCGGATGAATGAATTAACAAATAAATAAACGAATGAGTAAGATAATAAGTAGATGAATGAACGGAAGAAAACAAACAAATTATGGAATGAACAGAAGAAGGCATGAATCAATTTACTGCCTGTTTTGTCTCTGATTTAAGTCACAGTGCGCTACATTTACGAATCCGCTAAATGTGATGCAGGTTGGGGGAAAGATTAGGAATGGAGCACGAGGCATAGCACTCATTATGGACTGTAGAGCAAAACAGCCACATGCTGAGGGTGGAAGATCAGAGGTCCATTCATAGCACGTGCACAACAGTGGCAAATCCGATGAGGGATGTACTGATATGTCACTCATTTGTGGCGCAATGCCGTACAGAAAGACTGTTGCAAGAGACAACGTTCAGAAATGAAACGAAAAATATAATTATGCCCCAGTGAAAATCTGAAGGAAGGCATGGACAGAACGAGTCGAGTGATTTCACTTCAGAGTAAATGAAATTATTCAGAATTTCTTATGAAGAAGTATTAGTCAAGAAGTGCTTACTGTCGTCCTCCTCGCCCTCTCTCTGTAACTCCTCGGGTGATTTCCTTTTGGCAGTGCCGATGCGGCCGATGCACTCCTCCATCATCGGTGGCATTTCCGGCTCGCGCTTCTTGATGCCGTACTGCAACGGAACGGTCGGTGTAGGTTTATTTATGTTATGCTCTTTGTTTACTTTTTCCCTAATGTCTTTGCGCATCTTCTCGCGTTCTTGTTCCATTTTTTTGTGCTTTTCCTGACGACGCAGTTCCGCCTCTCGACGAGCCTCGATAATTTCAGGATCCTCACCGGTTTCGGTTCTCGCTTCCCCTACCGCTTCGCCTCCGCTGGTCAGCTTGTCGAAGCCGCCTGAAAATAGGTCCGTTGCAAGTACTGCTCAGAACTCGAATGTACTTTAAATCACACAGACGGATATTATGAAAAATGGAAAGAAACAACCGAGACTGGGAAGGAATGTTACCGTGATTTCCGTTGTCGTACGGATACTTGAAGATCTCGTCGGTAATCGCCGCCAGAAAGTTCGTCATCTGACCGCGGGATGCAGTCGCACTTGTCGGTTGCTGGTGCCGAATGTCGAATACGGCTGCCGAGTAGCGAGTGCGCGAGGCCTCCGGCGGCATCTTCATCTCGGAGTGAGGACACCGAGGGAAGAGCATTGCAGGGATCGTGGGTGCCCGACACCAAGAGTCTCGCAGTGCGAGGTCTCGTTTAGCCTGAGGCTCAAACGCAGTCGCCAGAGCGCCGCCGCCGGATTAGTGAAGCGCTAAGCGACCGACGACGGCCGAGCGGCTTGCTGTGCTCAGACGAGGGAACGATCACCGGCCGGCCAAGCAAACCGGATCTGATCATCCGTAGGCGGTGGACGCTTTGCACGGATGTCTGTGCCAGTAGTCGGATAGTAGTGGTCAGGGCCGAAACGGGAGAGGCAAAAACCTTGCCAGACGATCGTTACTAGACTCGGTCGTCGGCGATTCCGGTTTGTGACGGTTTGTGAAGTGGTCGTTGTCTGTTGTCCGCTGCAGAGGCAGTTGTTTCAGATATGAGGAAGAAACCAGAGGGTTTTACGAGGAGCCGCTTCACCGGTGACTCCTTTTTGGTCATCGCCCTGCCACTCGTGCCGATGGTCACTACGGATGTCGTCGTCCGGTGGACACCCTACCTGCCGGTAGTCTGTAATCTGTAATCTCATCTGCCGTAAGCGCTTGCGAATGATATGTTTGCGATCAATATTTGTCTCTCTAGCTGATCGACCGACTAAACGCTCTTACATACACAGGAGAATTTCACTTGCTGGATGTTCCGGTATTTCGCGCCTTACTGACTCGTCTGGTCCATCGTTTTCAAACACCACGAACTTTTTTGAAACTTCCTGTTTGGGATTCCGTCAGAGAACATATGCAAATGTCAGGATCTGACCGAGGTAAGGATTTGACTTATCTTTCGCCTAAAGTTGCGCCCTGAAAGGGCGATGATTAACATCATCTTATGTTCAAGCGAATGACAGTGCGAACGCACATATCTCCACAGCATTTTTAGACCATATTTTCCAGATGTTCACTAACCAAATGATGCAAGGAATTTTAATTTTATGTTTCTTGATGACGTCCATCAACTCGGGATTTCCCGTTTGTTTCATCCATGAAAGTGTGGCCATCCTCTCTTTGATTTAGATGTTAACCACAAACTGTTTTGTCCAGATTTGCAGTTGGGATGTTCATTTCTCTGGTGGATATGCGTCAGTAATATTCATCGGTCTGTACACCCGTGAGTGTTGCGGCTTCGTTAAACAACTGCTTCTGGACAGGTCTTCAGAATTGAGGATATTTCCCTCCGAGTACCGTTACTCTGCACAAACGTGGAGTAAACAGATTGGCTCTTCATCGTAGAGATGATACAATCGAACTTTGACGAGTTTTGCGATTCTCCTATTAATCACTAATTCCCTTCGACTGTGTTTTGATGCAACCGCTGAGAAGCAGATGGAAATTTCATTGGTTGCTGATCAGTAAGAACAATACGGTGTGCTGG